TTTGCAAGTTTTAAAGGTCAAAAGTGACTCCTCAGATATACTCATGCATGGATGATGATCCATTATGGTAAAATACATATTTTCATAACACAGGAGTGATGTGGGGATGATGATGATGATTTTGACATTGACCATGTGAGCCAAAGTTCCTGTGACAATAAAATAGAGCAGAATTGACTGACACAGATACAGGGAATGCAGACCTCTTTGATTCAGATGAGGAAGAAAACAGCAATATGAGTGCATATTTGAGTAGTCGAAATGTTGCAAAATGGTCATGCAACCAAATGGAACAATCCATTGTTAGAATTAGGTCTGAAAATATGGTGAGGACCTTGACGGGGCTGAAATCTATTGGACAGAATCCCAGCACTGCCATTCAGTGTTGGAAATTGTAACAGACAAAATACTGCAAGATGTTGTGAAATACACAAAGGCTGAAATACAAGTAAACCCTTCTGTATGCACCAATAGCTATACTCTGAAATGGTTTTTTTTTTTTTTGGTGTTTTTTTGAGTACCGGGGATTGAACTCAGGACCTTGTGCTTGTGAGGCAGGTGGCAGAACCACTGAGCTAAATCTCCACCCCAGAAATGTATTTATCATGATGCCTCATTAGTTGAACTGAAAGTATTCATAGATCTGTCGTACTTAGCAGGGCTTTCTCATGGTAATTGCAGGAATGTAAATGACTTATGGAAAAGAGATAGGCTTGAGGTTTGTAGAGTAACAGTGACACTGAGGATATCTGGTTTCCTTCAAAATTACTTGAGGCTTGATGGTGAAATGACCCATCAAGAAAGAAAACTGATAATGTGGCTGCTATCTAGTCATTGTCTGACAAATTTGTGAGTAATTGCTAAGGAATTTACACACCATCTGAATACATGACTATTGATGAACACCTTTCAGCATTTCATGGCTGCTATAGCTTCAGGGAGTACATGCCAAAAAACCCCTTTAAAAATAAGGCATAAAAATTTGTCCTTGTAAATGCAAAGATTTGCTATGCTTTCAATTTAAAAATTTATCCTAGAACTCAGCCACCAGGTCCTTACTCATATAGTAATAAACCAAATGATATTGTGAGCACTCTTATTGCTGCCATCTTCCAGAATATGAATTTAATCAGAATATGATGTTTGATAATTGGTTTACCAGTAACCTTAACTTTAAAAAGTAATATTAACCTTAAAAATATTGGGATAGAAAACTTTACCTAGAATATAATCCTGCTTTCACTTGCAAATATAGCCATGTTATAGAAAAAAAAATTGGAAGGAAATGTATCTGAATGCTAGCTGTAGTTATGTCAGCAGAGCTTTTAGACCAAAAGCTCTCCCTCTAGGGATCCCAACAGGCCAGCCTGGGCCACCTCTACCCTAGTGACCTAGGGGCGTGAGGACTACCTTGCTGGCCCAGCAGGTGTCCCTGTCCTCCATCACACCTCTTGTGATGCTCTTGTGTGTCCCTTCAGAAGCTGAGAATGACTACCCCCAATAGAGGAGCACAGGCTCCTCTGTCATGGATGTATGAGTAGCTGTGCTCCCCTGCTAAGAGCTCCAAGCCAGCTCTGGGTCCATAATAATGCCCATCAATGTTATAGGGGTTTCAGCAAAAAGAATCATGCCACGAAAATGGCCAAATTAAAGCTCCTTTGTAGCAGGTGACCAAGGACGAGCTCATGCTCCCATCTTTCTTCGTACCAGTCAAGCAGTGAAGCCCAGTTTTTAAAGGAAAAAACCACGCAATAGAATGTCATGATCTCATCTTTGAGCAAGCACAGGGGTACAAAAGCAAATTGCAAGTTAGATTAAAATCCAATATTTGGGATCCAGCAGGAAATGCCTATCTTTATGGTTAGGGCCTCAGTATAATATCAGGAGGAGGTTCTGGTTAATTCACTTACTTTAAGGGGGGCGGCAGTCATGAAGGGCAGGAAAGTAGCTTTAATCAGTATGGCCATGTGGGAAGCACAAGTTCATGATCTGTCTTGGAGGGTTGGCAGAAACTGTGGGGTTTCATAAGGAAGAAGAGAGGTAAAATTAATTTTTGAAGAAAAAGTAGTTTTTCTATAAAAGAGAACAGATATAAATGCTTCCCTAACTCCACCGGTGAAAGTTATTGTCATCTCTGATGTTTACTAGGTTGCTTGTGACCCTAGACAGTAAAAGTAAAACATGAAATTTATAATCTCATGACAGAATTAAGCATCAAAATAGGAAGAAGACATTATTTTTGTAAAGCCATGTGTTAGGGCTTGGATCTTAAATGACTCCCCAGTTCTCATACTAAATAAAATCTTGGTTTGTTTAAAAAAAAAAAAAGGAAGAAAAGCAAGGTTCGGTGCTTTTGCAGTTGGGGGTTGCAGTGTTGTAAAATTGGTTGGGTCTGGCCGGTCAGTATCTCAGGACTGGTGAGGTCCTGGGAGAGCCATCTTGCTTGAGTTGGGTTCCCATCGGAGGTGACACTACTGCCTAGCTTTGCCTTCAGGTCTGGTTAGGGGCTGATGGCTCCTGCTTGGGGCAATGGCTGCCTCATGGGGTTCTGTTTGCCTGGAATCTGAGGCGATTCCAAGTTTAGGACAATGGCTGAAGACTTCTAGGCATTGCGATTGGGTGTCCCTGCATCCTGAAAATGTAGTGAATCTTATCTTGGTGTCCTCAGTCTTGAAGGGGATGGGATAGATTAGGTATGTTTAGGGCTAGTAAACCTTAAATATGGCCACTCCTTTAGAGACGAACATGCCTGTATGCAGAGCTGAGCAGAGATCTGATACAAAGCTTGAAGGTGCTGAGGGAGACAGATAAAATGAAGGAAGAGATGACAAGCTTTGTCCTGCTGTTACTTACCCTCTGGGCATGTGCAGGTGCAGCTTCGAGGTCCCTTTTCCAGTTATATTGAAATTTGAGAATTATAGTAATTTTGTTTTCTCAGTAGTTATGGGAGTTTTTTTTTAAATCTTGTTACAGTGAGCCTGTAAAACATAGTCATTAAAAAGTTAGACATACAGAAGGTGGTTAGCAATGGTAGTTGATGTCTTTAAATTTTACTTATTTGATTTTAGAAAATTATAAAAATGGGATTGTATTTATATTTTAGTATAAAATTAATATAGAAGGCTGGGGATGAAGGTCTGTGGTAGAGCATTTGCCTAGTATGCACGCAGCCTTGGGTTCAGTCCCTGGCACTGCAAAAAAAAAAAAATCCCAAAACACACAAAAATGAATATAGCATAAGCACTTCCTAGTTTTTTGAGACAGGGACTCCCTATGTAGTCTAGACTGGTCTTTGAACTCACTATGTAGCCCGGGCTGGCCTGGAACTCATGGCATTCCTCCTGCTTCAGCCTTCTGAGTGCTGGGATTATAGGCATGCGCCACTGGGCCTGGTTTATTTTATTTTTTGAGACAGGGTCTTGCTCTGAAGCCCAGGCTGGCCTTGAAGTAAGAGCAATCTTCTGCCTCAGCCTCCTGAGTGTTGGTATTAGAGGCGTGCAGCACCATGCCTTGCTCTACCATTCCCCTTTTAGTGGACACTTGAGTTTTTTGCTCATTTTTTCCTGTTACATTCAGTGCTGTACTAAATTATTTTTAAACATTACTCTTTGTATATTGTAGACCTATCCCTATGAACGTATTAAATCTTTCCTGTTTCTCAGATGGACTAGTTGGTATGTGTGTATGCTTCTTTCTGTGTCTCTCTTTCTGTGTACACATCAAATCGGAAACAGTTTTGAGCAAAGTGAATGTTTTGCATAGGTCAGGCATCCAAGCACACGGCAGGAGGGTGCTGTATGTGAAGGTCTCACTGATCTGGTCATGACTGCTGCTGACCGTGCCTTTTTTTGTGACCTGTTACTGCTCACATCCTCCTTTTAGTTGCCTATGCCATGTATTGTGTGTCTCATTCCTTTCCTTTCACCACCCTCCTAGAATTTAGCAAATTAATTTATAGTTGCTAAGCTAGGCTGTTCAAGGAATTACTGAAGCAAAACTTATTCTGTGGTACACACATACACACATATTGTTATGCCAATTAAAACCGCAGGAAATTACTTCAGAATCTTGTCCTTGTCCTGCTTGCTAAGACAGCCTGTCTGCCTCACTCCCCCTCAAAGAACAGATATTTGAAACAAAAAAAAAAACGTCAGAAGATACTGATTTCAAACTCTTTAGGAAAGACAATGTAAACAAAGGGAAATATCCTGAACACAGTTTGCAGAACAGGAGAGAAAGGAGAAGGGCTTAGAGAATGAAATCAAAGCAATAAATAAATCACCGAAAAATTTCTCCTAAAAATCTGGTGTGGAAAACGAAACAATAGAGATGTGCACTGCGTCAGCCCCTGCAGGGTGTGGACCAGACCCAAGCTACCTTGGTGGTGATCAAGCAAATGAGGTTTTCATGAGAAGGTAGCAGCTCTGTGCTGAGTCCTTGGCCATCCTTTATCCTGTCCTTATTTTCTTTAAAAAGCATTTATCTTGCCAAAATGATTTTTATTTATTGTCTCTCTTTGCTCATCACAATATATTCTTCTTGTAGTACTCTGCCATAAAGAAGGATACATTTGAGCCACTTGCAGGAAAATGGATGTACCTCAGGACCATAAGATTAGGGGAAATAAGACACACAAATATTGCATGATTTCTCTCATAAGAGGAAACCAGAGTACAAAAAGAACAAAATAAAGATGGAGATACATTTATTGCAAATGAGAAGTGGATCAAGTGATAGAGGAAGCAGGGAGGGGAAGGGAGGGGAAGTAAAAAGAATGAAGATGTGTTGTGTACATGTACCAACTCCCCATGTTGACTGATCATGTTCTGCAAGCAGGTACTAATAAGTATATCAACTTGGCCGGGGATTTAGCTCAGTGGTTCCGGTGCCTGGCTCGCAAGCGCAAGGTCCCGAGTTTGATCCCTGGTACCAAATGTGTGTGTGTGTGTGTGTGTGTGTGTGTGTATATATATATATGTGTGTGTGTGTGTGTGTGTGTGTATATATATATATATATATATATTTGCCTTGAGGTAAGGAACAGTTAACCATATTGCTATAAACCTGATTAGTTCCTGGTTCTAACTTGGCAGCAAATACTTACAGGGAGGGAAGCGGAAGCAGATTAGATAAAAAGAAACAAGGTGTAATATGTGCATGTAACCGCTCCCCAAGACGATTGTAAACTGCACAACTGTAAAGATGTCCTAATAAAAAATTGTTTAAAACTCCAAATACTTAATAGTATGGATGAATAATAAATTTTAAAAATGATGAAGGAACTAAGTTGGTTCATCCATGTATCTAAAGCTACATTCATGGCTAATCACTAGAAGACCTAAGATTAGAATCCATGTCTGTATGTCCTAGTCATTTGTATCCCTGAGTTTCAGTAGCTACAAGCTTAGTCTCCATAGACATCTAGTGATTGGATAGTGGGAATTTTTAAATAGATCTGTTAATGTCTTAGCAGTACATAGAATGCCTCCTGGTTAATATAAAGCAAAGATATGAAGGTTTTGAGTATTAGAGAGTACAGTCTTGGATGCTTTGCATGTTGTAGCTGTGAAGGTTGTATTTTATCTAAAGGAGGGTAATAGGAAGTGAAATTTCTGTTTATAATATAAGCTCAAGTGGATTTTTTTTTTTTAGTACCGGGGATTGAACTTGGGACCTTGCGCTTACAAAGCAGGCACCGGAACTACTGAGCTTAATCCCTGGCCCTCAAGTGGATTTTTAAGAGCTCCTTAAAATACATATGTATAATAAGGTCATTAAAAAAGTAATGTAATATTATAAAAGCCTAATTTGAAGAAAGAAAACATAAGCACTGATTATCCTCAAACAGGTAAGATTGTTACTGTCCTATGGTTTAACTCCTCTTACACAAGCCAGAAGGGAAGCTTACTGATGCTCTATGTAATTCTTGAGATTCAGGCACTGAATTACAAAACAAAGGCATTTTGTGAGGTCCTCTGAGTAGTGCAGCCACAGTACGCTTACAGCCTTGTGCTTCTCTCCCAGGATCACCCAGTACACTCCTTACCAGCCCGAGGTGTCTCAGGGGAGGCTGGAGAGTTTGCTTAACTTCCAGACCATGGTGTGCGACCTCACGGGCCTGGACACAGCCAACGCCTCCCTGCTAGATGAGGCGACTGCAGCTGCAGAGGCCATGCAGCTGTGTCACAGGTGAGTGGCGCAGCCCGGAACTCCCTGGGGAGCGGGACATCCTGAAGTCCCTCTCCTGCTGTGCATGAGCACAAGCTCCAGTGTCCCGATTAGTACCCAAGGACTTGCCACACACACTGGCATGGCACACACTGTATATATTTGTGTGTCTGAGAGACATTCTGTCAGTTAGCTGAGGTAACAAAAAGATCTGGTCTAGTTACGGTTCTTTTTTTTTTTTTTTTTTTTATCGGACTTCATCTTGGTGTGTAGTTCAGGCTGACCTTGAATAGCTATATAGCCCAGGCTGGCCTCAAACTCATGGTGATCCTCCTGCCTAAGCCTCCCAAGTGCTGGGATTACAAGTGTGTCTCCAGGTGTGTGATTACAGGTATGTGTCTCTGTTCTAGTTGTGGTTTTTAAAAAATCCACTTTTTTTTTTTTGGTACCGGGGATTGAACTCAGAAAAGCCACTATTATTGCAAGTTATCTAAGACAGCTATTTCATTTTCTCTTACATAATGTGATGTTCAGGGTTGTTATGGCATATTACAAGGACCCGTGCACTCCTCTCTGACATCCTTAGATCCTCATGTTTAACAGGTGACTGCTCAAGCTCTAGCCACGCTGTCTGCACTCAGAAAGAACCAAAGGGGAAGGGCACAGGACTGCTAGCTAAATAAACCTATGTATGTATGTGTGTTTGTATTTATGTATGCATGTTTATGCATGTTTGTGTGTGTGTGTGTTCGAGTGCTGGCAGAATTAGACCCAAGGCCTCACGCATGCTGTCCAAGCCTCTCCCACTGAGCCACATCCCCAGCCCTTTGAGTTTTCTTCCCCTCCTTCTTCTTTCTTTTGTGCTATTGTGAGTTGAAACCAGGAGTTTGCACCAAGTGACATCCCTAGCCCTTTTTATTTGTCTGTTTTGAGACACAGGGGCTTATTGAGTTGCCAAATTGCCCAGACTAGGCTGGAATTTTTGATATTCCTGCCTCATCCCCCCACATACAGTACCTGGGATTATAGGTCTACACTACTCGGTCCAGGTCCTGTTAATAAGCTTTTTTTTCCCCCCAGTACTGGGATTGAATCCAGGAACTTTATACTACCTACATTCTCAGCCATTTTAAAAAATTTTCTTTGAGACAGTCTCACTAAGTTGCCAGAGTAAGTTCAACCTTGCATTCCTCCTCCTTTAGATTCCCAGAGCACTGAGATTACAGGTATGCATCGTCACACCTGGCTGATAAATGCTCTTTATTTATTTAATATTTTGGTTTTATTTTTTTTGAGACAGAGTCTCACTGTGTAGCCCAGGTTGGCCTCAAACCCTTGGCGATCATCCTGCCTCAGCCACCTGAGTGCTGTGATTATAGGAATGCTCCATCATGCCAGGCAAATAAACCATTTTAAAAAAATATTTTGAGTTGGGCAGAGTGACACAGGTCCATAATCCTAGCACCCTGGGAAGCAGAGGCAGGAGGATTGTAAGTTAGAGCTCACCCTGGGAAATTTAGTGATTTAAAGAGACACTGCCTCAAAATAAAGGACTGGGGATGTAGCTCAGTATGAAGGCCCTTGGTACAATCTTCAGCGCACACAAAAAAGTGAAGCCCCTACTAAGCACCTTTCATTTATGCTTCAGTGGCCACCCCTTCCTGCAGGTGACCAGGAGAAATAAAATTTTTTAGATAAGCACATTGATGACCCCTGGATATTGGGGTTCTGTTACTTGAGATGAAGGGGAAGGATGGATATTGGGAAGGATGGATATTGGGAAGAATTGGCAATTTGTAAGGTAGTATGTAGTAAGTATCACCCTTCTTTATGGAGAACATTTTACCCAGATTACATGTAATTTTTTAAGGTTGTTTTTCTTTTCCTGTTTTACAGCAGATTCTGAACATCTCCCCGTTTGCTTGATCAGCTTCCCATAATATGCCTTCTGTTGTTTCCTTGGTAGGATCTATTTGCATGATTTACTTAGCTTTCCCTCTGCTCACACTTAGTTGGTTCCCACCACTTACTGTTATAAGTAGCATTTCATGTACATCCCTGCAATAAATCCTTGGTACAACTTCAGCTTATTCCTGAAGATGCTTTTCTAGTAGGGTCATGGCACAGTTGTTCTTCAGCCCCCGCCCCCTTTCCTTCCCTGCCTGTGACCACACTGGAGCACACCCGCCTGGTAGAATTCTCGTGTGGATTCTGCTCGCCTGCTGGGGAAATGTGCAGCCCCCACTCCTGGCTCATCTGTCTCGGCTCCAGTGGACTTGGGGTTGGAGAGCTGAGGTGTTGGAATCAGAAGGCCAGGACCAGATTCCACCTTGGAACCTTCTGCTTCCTGAGTGGCCTCAGGGGTAGTGGGGGTAGTTCAGGCGCTTCTTGCTGCTGGATGGCAGCCACAGAGTGCCGCCCGCCCGCTGCTCTGGCCCCTAGTCTCAGCTTGTCCCTGATTTTCAGCTCTTTTTTGCTTCCACCTTCTCACTGCCCCCTCACCAGCCTCTTTTTCCTATGCAGAAGTGTTCACCTCACACTTGAGAAGCTGATGGTTTTCTGTATGATGTGCAGTTTGCCGAGAACTACTAGTGTCAAGGGGCTTCTCACTGCAGATGCTTAACTCACTTCCTCCCTACATTCTTTTTTGTTTTGGTACTGGGGATCGAACTTGGGTCCTTGCGCTTGCGCAGCAGGCGGCGAAACCACTGAGCCAAATCCCCGGCCCCCCTCCCTTTGTTCTTATCCTGCTGTCTGCACTTAGATTTGTTCTGAGAAAGCAGCATACACAGCTTAGCTGTTTGCTTTTTTTTCTTTTGAAACAGGGTCTCACTATGTATGTAGTTCAGGCTGGCTTTGAACACACAGTGTAGCCCAGGCTGGCCTCAAACCCAAGGTGATCCTCCTACCTCAGCCTCCCAAGTGCTGGGATTATAGGTGTGCACCACCATGCCCAGCCTATTTATTGTGTATCTCTCTGGGAAATTAAATGTATAGCACAATACACATGTACACCCCTCCCCACCTACAGATGAACGCTTTTCTTTTCATCCAGATGTGCTCATGATACTGGAACCATTATGCGTCCATATTAGTTTTTGTTTCCTGAAGAGCTCCTGGGATTTGGGTGCTTTTTGTGATCCTGCACACATCACAGCCTGAGTCTTTCTCCCTCTTTTTTTTTGGTACCAGGGATCGAACTCTGGACCCTGCGCTTGCTAGGCAGATGGCAGAACCACTGAGCTAAATCCCCGGCCCTTTTTCCCTCTGTTTTGAGTAGACACTTGATTTAGCATTTAGACTAAATGCTCCTTTGGCAATAAAATTCTAAGATTTTTCAGAAAAACTTTTTTTGTTTTTAATTTTCATTTGTGTCAAATCATTGCCCTTTGTTTTCATTTCATCTTGTTCATACAATTTTTTTTTAAGTTTGAACTATTTTAAGACTGATTTTGGTAAATGGGGGTGGAATGGGAGTTGGATTTAAGTGGAATTGCAGTTAGTAAATATCACTAGTTTCTGATAACTCAGATCCTTTTATACTATGCTCAGACTTTGCCTGAAGACCACATTTGCTTTACATTCTCAGACACTCTGATTTTTTTTTTTAATGTTTGTGTTTGAATGTGCTTTTTCTTTTCAACAGACATAACAAGAGGAAGAAATTTTTTGTCGACCCTCGCTGCCACCCACAGACAATAGCTGTTGTCCAGACTCGAGCCAAGTAATTGCATTCGTTTATATATTGAGCCCCGGGTAATAAGGTTCTCATCTCTACTGCTTCCCTCTTTCACACTTCTAATCTGATTGGAGGTCAGCCTGCTTTTAATTGGGGTTGTTGAGTTTTACCTTCTCTTTTACTTTTTCTAGTAAGTACACTGTCAGAATTGAGGGGGAAATTCATGGTGTTTAATTGCCTTTTTTTATGGTAAGTTATCATGTCATTTTATCTTCTTTTGCAAAAAGAAAATTAAAAATTTGAAAACCATTTCAATAGTATTTTGGAAAGTTTGAGGAACAGGGGAAAATACAACTCACACAAAACTGTTGTAATTTTTGTGTATTCCCTGCAAACATAGTTTATAGGGAATCTACCCAACACTTCATGTAATATGATGTAGATTAAAGTATTTTGTATTTTTTTTGTTAAGTTTATTCGTACATTTTAGGTATACAATATAATGACATCCCTCATTGGGAATTTGTACCTTTACATGATGTATCTTGGTTCTTATTTTTTCCGGATTCCCCTGCCCTCCCTTCAACTCCTCCACCCCTCCCTATTTACAGAGACTTTGTTTTCCATTTTTTCTTCAACATAACACAACCACCACTTGTGTGTATTTGCTTTTTCCTGTAGAAGTATTGGCCATTTTCCCCCCACCCCTTCAGCAGGGGTTTCTGGACCTATGATCATCATAAGGAAGTTCTTACCACAGAAGGACAAGGTGTGGGCTGGGATGGATCTGGGAGGAAGCAAAAAATGAACACTGGTTCACCGAAATGGAACTGTAGTCAGTTTGTTTACCCTGTACATAATTGTGTGATTGTTCTTTGTTTTACATCTTGGCAGATTTCGTGGAGTCCTCATTGAGCTGAAGTTACCTCATGAAATGGACTTCAGTAGAAAAGATGTCAGTGGGGTATTGTTCCAGTACCCAGACACTGAGGGAAAGGTAGAAGACTTCACAGAACTGGTGGAGAGAGCCCAGGAGAGTGGGGTAGGTGGGAAACCTTGTGGGGGTCCGGGGGAGGTGTGTTCTAGCTTCTTGCTGTCTATCTATCATTCTTTTGGTGTCTCGGAATTTCCTTACTACTATCAAATGGAATGGTAAAAGTCTGCTTCCTTCCTCCTTTCTCTGCGTTTTTATATACTGATTCCTGGCACTCAGCGGATATTTATTGAGTGAATGAATGATGAATAACCAACAGGTGTTCATAGGCTCCTCCAGTCTGCCTGCCATGGAGATCATGCATGGTGTCCCCTCTCCACTCTCAGGGAAAGGTGACAGCCTTGACCCTTCCTCTCATTTTCTCTGCAGAGCCTGACCTGCTGTGCTACTGACCTTTTAGCGCTGTGTATCTTGAGGCCCCCTGGAGAATTTGGGGTGGATGTTGCCCTGGGAAACTCTCAGAGGTTTGGAGTGCCACTGGGCTATGGGGGACCACATGCAGCCTTTTTCGCTGTCAGAGGAAACCTGGTGAGGATGATGCCTGGAAGGATGGTGGGCGTGACGAGGTAACAGCTCCTGTCCCCTCCCCATGCTGTCCCTTCTACTGGTCACAAATGTTGATTTTTGTCTGAATTTAATGGTGTTGTGTTGGGTCAGTTAAATGTATAGCAGAGATCATGAACGGAATCTGAGGTATAAACTAGTACTTCTCAAACACCAATTAATTTGTACATATTTGAAAAATGTGTATGCTCTACAACATATTAGTACTGTCATTGTCCTGGAAGCGTGTTCATTTAGGTTGACAGAAGCCTTGAGAGATTGAGTATTTATGTATGTTTTATTCTAACCAGTTTCTTTCCCAAAAGTATTATCCTGCCACACTGTTGTGCAGAGAGATTTATAAAGCACACATTGAGTGTGAGCCACATAATTTAGAGGCTCCTGCCATTTGGCCATTCAAGTAATTTTATTTTTTTCTTTGAGTTTTAAAAATCTTTATTTAAAAAAATTTAATATGAGCATTATAGGAAACACACAAGAAGCAAAGAACAAAGTAAGTCACAGTTATAAGCAGCTTAGCTGGCTGTGTCCTGGGTCCCGTGTGTATACAACATGCCATTTTGTGTGACTGAGATTGTACAATATGTGTCATGCTTTTCCACACATCGGGAATATTCACCAATTCAAAATTCCAAAGCTACAAGAGTATTTCTGATAAGCAGGAATATACTATAACAAATCAATCTCAAGTATTTTCTGGATGGACTTTATGGAGTGCTTCTGATTGATGAAGCTTCTCAGAATAAGAATTTAAAGGAGCTGGGCATGGTGGTAAATCCCTGTAATCCCAGCAGTTTGGGAGGCTGAGGAAGGAAGATTGCAAGTTCGAGTCCCACCTAAGCAAGACCCTGACTCAAAAAAACAAAAACTATAATAAGGGCTGGGGATGTAGCTCAGTGTAAAGTCAACAGTGACAACAAAAGCAACTTAGAAGAACGTCAGAATTATAACTGGGAAATTGTAGCATAATCTTCTTGCTAAAAGCTGAATTATGAACATAAGTGAGTAAATGAATTAGTGAATGGTAAAGATTTGAAATACTCTCAATTTGTGACACATTATATCAGCTTGCTTTTCTGATGTCTCTTCACCAGTGGAGATGAGACAGAAGACTTTCTAATTCAAAAAGTTTGATATATTAATTGTTGTTGGCTGATTTTCATAATGAACTTTTAATTTTTCTGAAAAGTAGACCCCAAAATTTTCTTTTTTAAAAAAACATTGGGCCAGGGATTTAACTCAGTCGCACTGTGCTTGCCTCACAAGCGCAAGGTCCTGCGTTCGATCCCCGGTACCAAAAGAAAAAATGTTTGCTTTCTGTATAGTAGACATGGCCACTATGGTTGTTTTGGGTTTTGTGCTGGGAATCAAATTCTGGACCTTGCACTTGCTAGGCAGAGACTGTGCCGCTGAGCTACATTCTTAGCACCCCAAAATTTTCAGTTGTGGTAAAGAGGAAAAAAATTTAAGAGATAGTGGTAAGACTTAACATTTATGTTTTTAAATAGCCAATCTTTGTACTTCTAGTACAGAAATTGTAATTTCCCATTCCCTTTTTCCCGTTTCTGCCAAGAAGCTCAGAGTGAAATTGAATTCTCAATCACCATCATTATGTTAGGCAGGGTGATTCCTGGGAAATTTCTTTTCTTCTTTTTTGAGACAAGGACTCACTATGTAGTTCAGGTTGGCCTTGAACTCACTGGGTAGTCCAGAGTGACCTTGAGTTCAGGAGATCCTTCTGCCTCAGCCTCCCATGTGCTGGGATTACAAGCATGTGTCACCAGCCCTTGGAAATTTCTTTTCACTAGTTCTAGCCTTATTGTATGACTCTTAAGTGCAAAGGAAAAAATATCAATGGACATTTTTTTTTTTTTTTGGTGCCGGGGATCAAACTCGGGTCCTTGCGCTTGCACAGTAGGTGGCGAAACCACTGAGCTAAATCCCCGGCCCTCAATGGACATTTCAAAGAGGGTGGTTTGGAAAATTTTTTAAAATTATTTAATTTTTTTGTGTGCGTGTTGTAGTTCATGCTAGCCTTGAACTCACTAGTCACCCAGGCTAGTCTTAAACTGCCTCACCTTCCTGAGTTTTGGGATTACAGGCATGCACCGCCATGCCTGGCTAGAAATTGTTTTCTTATAAACTCACACCCACATAAATTTGCTGATTCACTTCACCTGGGTAGGAAAGAAATTGGTCTCCTTTTGGCAATACCTGCTGCTCTGATTATCTGTGCTAACCAGATGTATTATCTTGGTCCAGGGACGCCACTGGGAAAGAAGTCTACCGCCTTGCTCTTCAGACCCGGGAGCAGCACATCCGGAGAGACAAAGCGACCAGCAACATTTGTACAGCCCAGGTAAGTTGCACCTCCGACTGACTGCTGAGTGCTTTAGTGTACAGAGTGAACTTCTCAGCCACTCACTGGACTGATTGTTCATTCGCTGCCTACTGAACATCGAACATCGCGCCTGCTAGAGCAAAATCCTAGGACTGGAGAAAGGCTGCAGTCTTGTCAGAACAGAATATATGTGTTTTACCACTGTTCTGTGTGTGTGTACACATTGCCTATGTGTTCTCTTCCTTATAAATGCCTTAATAAATTTATAAAATGATAAAGAGCAGTATTAGTTTTTATTTAATCTAAAACTCCATCTCCAGGTCTTAGTCTAAGCTTAGAGAAAAGACAAAGGAACTACTTTTTATTTACATGTATCTTAAGTGTGCTTAGAAGTGATGGGGACGGGGTGTCCAGCACCCTTGGCCATGGCGTAGTCCTGATGGATGGGGATTGGAGCACCTCTCAGGTCTGAGATGGGCCCTCCAGGGATGACCTGGGAGGCAGAGAGAGTTTGGGGGACTGTAATGGCAGGGATGGTCCAGACTGGCGGTTCTTAAAGCTGATTCAGGGCTTGGGTCAGAAGGTTTCAAAAGCCACAGGAGAATTGTATTCCAAGGTTTTGAGTGCTTGAAAATTTTTTGCTTCATTCTTGAACAACCACGTGAATATAAAATTCTCAGATCTCACTTTTTTCCCCCAGAGTTCTTTATTGCTCCACTGTCTTCCAGTATTTTAAAAAAAATTATTTTGGGCTTTGCTTTTTAAATTTAACAGTATATCTTGGAATTTTTTCTTAGTTCACATAAATTTATGTTTGCATTTATTTTTTAGCAGTTGCACTTTCTTCTGTAGCATGGAATAAACCATAATTTGATTATAGCTCCATTTAGTTTATTTTCAGTTTGTGCAAAAACTGTATTGTAATGAACTTTTGCAACATATATATATATATATATTATTTATGTCCAATTTTTCTGTAGGGTAGAGTCTTAGAAATGGAATTGCTGAATTAAAGAGTACATGCACTTGAACTTTTTTTTTTTTTTTTTTTTTGTGGTAACAGGGATCAAACTTGGGTCATTGAACTTGCGAGGCAGGTGGCGGAACCACTGAGCTAAATTCCCAGCCCCTGCATTTGAACTTTTGATAGATGCTGGCTGGGTGTGATGATGTACCAACGAGGCTGAGGTGGGAGGATCACTAAGAGTTCAAGGCCAGCCTGAACTGTATCTACATAGTGAGACCTGTCTCAAAAACAAACAGAAAATTTGATAGATTCTGCCTTGAAAAGGATTTTATAAATTTTATATGAGGGAAGTGGGAGTGAGGGGAGAGGAAGTGAATGAAAAAGAGAATAAGATGTATCATGTATGTGCCCTAACTCCCCTGAAGGAGTGAAGAGAAGCACTGTGTACTGCAAAAGTGTATTGATAAAAGTCTTCAGCTTAGGTTTCTATTGGTCTCTCTTTTTATTACTGATTTGTAGAAGTTTTATAAAAAATTTCAGTATTTATATTTCAAATATTTAGATTTAAATTTTTGAGATTGGGTCTATCATTTTTATTTGCCTTCACTTCAGAGTTTTATGTTTTTCTTTTTTGTACTGGGGATCGAACTTGGGACCTTGGGCTTGTGAGGCATGCAGTGGAACCTCTGAGCTAAATCCTCAGCCCTTCTTTTTAAAAATTGTTATGAGTCCATGTGTGCAGTACATAGTGATTCCATTCCTTGTGGGGAGGTGGTGGATGTGCATAACACATGTCAATTCCTATTTTCATCCCTTCTTCTCCCCTCCCTTCCCTCTCCCCCCATCTCTTGGTCCCCTTCCCATTTGCAAAATTCCTTCCCATTTCCTGTTTCTTATTATCTTTTATTTTGTTCTTTAATTTATTTATATTTGGGGTTCCCCACATAGGAGAAATCATGCAGTGTTTAAGCTGTGTGTGTGATTTGATTCACTTAACATTATGGTCTCAAGGTGCATCTGTTTTCCTATGAGTGACTTGTTTATCCTTCTTTGTGGCAGAGTAGTACTCTATTGTGTGTAAATACCATATTTTCTTTATCCATTCATCTGTTGATAGACATAGGCCATTTCTAAGATTAGACATCAAGAGTTGTGTTGCTATAAACAGAGGTTATGCATTTATCACTGTAATAATGATGTTTTGAAGTCTTTTGGGAAAATACCTAGAAGAGGAATAGCTGGGCTGAGTGGAATTTCAAATTTTAGTTTTTTGAGGAATCTTCATACTGATTTCCACAGTAGTCTACATGCTCACCAACAATGCAGAAGGGTTCCTTTTTCCCAGCAGCCTTGCCAGCATTTGTTAATAATTGATGTTATAGCCATTCTTTCTGGAGTAAGATAGAATCAGTGTTGTTTTAATTTGCCTTTCTCTAATAGCCAGACATGTTGAACATTTTTCCATCCACTTATTCACTATTTGTACTTCTTCAAAGAAGTATCTATACATTTTGCTTACCCATTTTTTGAGTGCGTCTTATTTCAGGGGGGTCTAATTTAGGGGAGTTCTTTATATATTAGATATTAGTCCTGTGTGGAGTAGCTGGCAAAATTTTTTTCTCATTTTGTACTTTGTCTTGTCTCTGGCTGTTTCCTTTGCTGTGTAGAAGCTTTTTATTTGTCTTTTTTTTTTTTTTTGGTTTTTTTGAGACAGGATCTCAATGTGTAGCCCAGGCTCACTTCAGTCTCACAGCAATCCTCCTGCCACAGCCTCCCAGTGCTGGGATTATAGGCATGTGCCACCACGCTCAGCCAGAAACTTTAATTTGATATGATCCCATTTGTTGACTTTTGATGTTTTTTTTGCAGTTGGGATTCTGGTCAGAAAGTCCCTGCCTATACCTATGTTTTCAAAAATTTCGCCTAGTTTATCTTCCAGCAGATGAAGTGTTTCTGCTTATACATTTAGATCTTGAATCCATTTTGATTTTAGGTTAGTACATGTTGAGAGATAGGGGTTTGTTTCAGTCTTTTGCCTGGGGATAGCCATTTGTGGAAGAGGCCGTCTTCCCTTCAGCATGTTTTTGGCCCACTTGTCGAAGATCCAATGTCAGGATGGTACCTATGGTTGTTTCTGTGTCCTGTGTTCTGCCCTACTGATCCACATGTTTTTGTGCCGGTACCATGCTATTTTTATCACTGTAGCATTGTAATTCAACTTCAAATCTGGGATTGTGATGTCCCTTGCTTTGCTGTTATTACTCAGGACTGCTTTTGCTATTCTGGGTCTCTTCTGGATCCATATGAATTTTAGGATTGATTTCTGTATTTCCGTGAGGAATGCCATTGGTATTTTGATTGGGATTGTGTTAAACCTGTATATCAGTTTTGGAAGTATGGCCATTTTGACTATATTTGTTCTACCTACCCAGGAATAGGGGATCTTTCCATTTTCTGATGTCCTCTTTGATCTCCTTTTTGGAGTATTGTAATTTTTGTTGTAGAGGTCTTTCACTAGCATAGTTAGGTTACTTCCCAAGTATTTAATTTTTTTTGATGCTATTGTGAATGATATTGTTTTCCTGATTATTTTTTCAATGAGTTCATTATTGGTATGCAGGAATGTTACTGCCTTTTTGTTTTTGGTACTGGGGATCGAACTCAGGTCCTTGTGTTTGCGAGACAGGCGACAGAACCACTGGGCTAAATCCCTGGCCCTGTTACTGACTTTTGTGTTTTGATTTTGTATCCTGCTGTAGTACTGAATTTGATTTAGTTAATTCTAGGGTTTTGGTGAAATTTTCTGGGTCTTCTGTGTAGAGGATCATGTCATCTATGAATAATTTTAATTCAACTTCTTTCTTTCCTAAACATATACTTTATATTTTTTTCTCTTGCTTGATTTTTCTGGCTGATATTTTGAGTACTCCATTGAATGAGAGTGGGGATAGTGGACATCCTTGTCTTGTTCCTGATTTTAGAGGGAAAGCTTTCAACTTTTCCCCATTTAATGTGATGTTGTGGTAGGTTTGTCATAAGTAGCTTTTATCAGATTGAGATAAGGTCCTTCTATACATAATTTCTTCAGGGTCTTTATCATGAATGGATGTTGGATTTTGTCAAAGGCTTTTTGTGCATCTATTGACCGTTTGGTTTTCATCCTTCTATTTATGTGATGTAGCGAATTTATTGATTTGTGTATGTTGAGCCATTCTAGCATCCCTGGAATGAAGCCTACTTCATGAGTGAAGCCTCATGGTGTATGATCTTCTTGATGATTTGCTGCATTCTGTTTGGCAGTACAGTATCTTGTATCTTGCATCTATGTTCATTAAAGAGATTGGCTTGTAAATTGTCTTTTTTGGTTGGGCCCTTGTCTGGTTTTGGAATCAGGGTAACTCCAGCTTCAGGAATTACTCAATTTGATTAGGGTTAAGGTCTAACACTTTCATTATTAAATATTGGTTTTGTAACATTTTAGTTTGGTTTTTTGAGATAGGGTCTCACCATACATTCAGGCTGGCCTTGAATTCACTATATATCTATCCCAGGCTGACCTCAAACTTGTGGTGATCTTCCTGCCTCAGTGTCTTGAATACTGGGATTATAGGCATGTGCCACCACACCCAACTTATTGTTTTTTGATGCGGTGGATCAGTGAGACCCCCTTTATTATATATAGTTAAAGATAAAGACTTAGCATAATGATTTCAGAGTGTCTTGGGTGTTTGTTTACATTCACATAGTCAAGTAGGTTATAAATGGTCCCTAAGCATCATAGAAAACGTAGGAAATCTGATCATTTAATTTTCTTTGTTTTCAATGTTGGCATCCCAAGCCATTTAATTTCTCCCTCCTACTAATAGTCGCCATTATGCTGATGCCCATGACTCTGAAATGCTCTTTATTCTTTTAGGCTCTTTTGGCAAACATGGCTGCCATGTTTGCCATCTACCATGGTGCCCGCGGGCTGGAGCACATTGCTAGGAGGGTACATAATGCCACTTTGATTTTGTCCGAAGGTGAGTTGGTTATCTGTTTAAAATTTTTGGGCTTAATAAGACTGATAAATTTGAATAGGTAAAATTGGAAACTTGGGTGTATGTCCAATAATAAATGTAAAATTGGGAGTCAAATGAGAAACTTGGAAAATATTTTTAATATCTATGATAGTCTTAGTGTTAATATTTTTAATATACTGTATTTTAATAAATTTTAATAAATACAGTGTATTTAATAATACTGCCTCTCCACCCTTAAACACAAAAAGGATAAACAGCCTGATGGAAAATGAAACTCAAAAAAAATTTTTTATATACATATATGCACACACACACACACACACACACGTGCACACACATATATATTTGTGTGTGTGTGTGGAGAGAGAGAGAGAGAGAGAGCAAAATAGAAGATAGATAAATAGGAAGTAGGAAGAAGGGCAAATAATTCCCCAAATTATTCTGTTGTTTCAGAAATATTTTAATATATATGCTAATTTGTTTCATTTATACTAGTGATTTTTCTTAGTTCATTGAAAAGAAAGTTATGCTATCTGTTTCTTTGTAAGTCTTCTTTGTCACGTACTCTTGAGTAACTACATTTAAGATTATGATACACCGTGTCTTAACTATTGTTATTCTCTTATTTTGTTACGAAATTTTACTTTTCATAAAAGAATGAGCAAATGACATTAAATATAATTTAGAAAAAGTATATAATAATAAAGACATAAAATTTTAACCTTATAATATTCAAGGAAATGTCATTTCAAACAATAAAATAGTATCTGTCCCATCACCTTAAAGATGAAGAAGAATGCTGATACCATATTGGTATGACTTACAGATGACACTTAAACACTATCAAAATCTTTTAAAAGTTCCTATAATTTGACCTAGTCATTCTGCTTCTAGGAATATATGTAAAGGAAATAAGCAGATAACTATGTCCACTGAAACATTGTAACAGTTCATTCTCAGAAATAGCCTAAATATTTAATAATAACTGATGAAATTACGACATACCCATATATCTGATTATTACACAGCTATTGGAAATAATGAGTTTATTGATCACACATGATTCCCAGGGGAATGTATACCAAAATACAAGCAGTAGTTCTAGTTGGTGGTGATGAATTTTCTTTTTATTTGTATTTCATAAAATTTTTTATTTCACATAATTTTCTGGCATAGCAATAAATGTATTACTTTTGTTTTGTTTGAGACCAGTTCTTTCTATGTAGTCCAGGCTGGCCTTGAACTTGCAGCGATCCCCCTGCCTCAGCCTCCTGAGTGCCAGGATTACAGGCATGCACCACCCTGCCTGGCATAAATGTATTTATTTTTAAAGCAGCTACCAAAGTACTGGTCAGGCCCAGGAACATCCTATAGTAGAAATTTCCCCGTTATCTCTGTGAAATGTCAATGGCTGAGGAGCGAGTGTCTGTGTCAGATCCATGCTCTCCTGTCTTGTGTAGGTCTCAAGCGAGCAGGTCACCGCCTCCATCATGACTTGTTCTTTGACACCTTGAAGGTTCAGTGTGGCTGCTCACTGAAGGAGGTTTTGGCCAGGGCTGCTCAGCGGCAGATCAATTTCCGGCTGTTCGAGGATGGCACAGTAAGTCAAATTCTCAGTATTTTTTACAAGTTCTCTAAATTTTCGTGACTTTTCTCATTAGAAGCATTCCTCTTTATTAAAAACAGTGGGATTTTAGGCACAGTCTATTTTGATAAACCATTATATTTTCCAATTTGCAATACTGTAACATTTTCAAATAAGTAATTTATCATTTTTGTCATCTATTTTATTTTGCCACAGCTTTTGTCAAGGCTGTGTTTTCATACATGGGATTCTTCGAACTGAAGACTCTGATAAGTGATATAATAAGTAAGCGAAGTGAAGAAAAAGTTAAACTTAGTTGCAGTAGGAGTGTCCTGTAGCTGCTGGACTGTGGGCGTGCACCAGTAACACTGGTGACGTCTCAGACTGCTGTGGTCCCCTTCCCCTAGGGTTCTCTTGAATGAAATGGTACTCTGGTTTCCTGGAATGACTGGGAATTTTGTTCAGCACCTTCTTCCCCTTGACCTCTCCTGTGGCTCCTCCAGTGACTTTGGAGTTGAGAGCTGATGCTTTCTTTTTTGTTTTTGTTTCTGTAGCTTGGTATTTCTCTAGATGAGACAGTTAATGAAAAAGATCTAGATGACTTGTTGTGGATCTTTGGCTGTGAGTCATCCGCAGTAAGTAAAATAAAAGCATGGCTTCCTCAATATGACTGTGGCAGTGGTATCAAAGATGGCTTTGCCTCTGCGGGCCTGAGTGTGAGGGAGGGAGGGGCCATATGTGATATTGGGGTGGCCTCTAAAAACGATGCCACTGGGGCTGGGGATTTAGCTCAGTGGTTCTGGCACCTGCCTCACGAGCACAAGGTCCCGAGTTTGATGCCCAGTACCAAAAAAAAAAAAGTTTGTGAACTGAGGCACCACTGTAGTTGGAAGGCTGGTTAATGGTATTTCATTGAAACTGTCCCCTAATACAAAGATTTGGGACATTGATATCTTGATTATTGTCAATTCTGGGAAAATTATGATACTCATTTACTACACGGTAATCAAGGACCTAATCTGTGTCAGGCACTGTGATAGCCCGAGGTGGTGGACTGGACATGCTTCCTGTCCTCGCTAAGTATGTAGAACAGGGAGGATCCAGGCACACAAGCACAACATTCCAGTCCAGCTGGCACGATAGTGGTGGGTGAGGATGCTTTGTTGAGGAGAAGATGACAACCTCAACAAGGCTTGGACTAGCTGTCCTTAGCTGGGATCAGAATGATGAGCAGGTGTTACCCTACACCAGGATGGCACAGTGGAGAAGGAACACGGGTTTAGAGGCATCCCAAACACTGGGCAAAGTTCCCAAAGTTTCCTTTTGAGCTCTTTTTTTTTAATTAAATAGGCCAAGCGGTGAGCAATTCTCTGAGAAATAAAAGCAGTTTTGTGTGACTAAATTGGTCTCCAAATTTGGAATAGGGTGGCTACTCCATGAGATTAAAGTGAGAGTAGTCAGTAGCTATCTAAATCTGTGACCAAATGTTGATGCTAACATGGTGCACTGCCTGCTGCAGAAAAATCACTCGGTGGATATTTGTTGAGTGAGTCAATTCGAGAAAGCCTTTCCTGCAGAAGTGGGAATACCTTCCAGAGTGTTGTGTGCTGTTTTGGTTGTCTGTGGCCTCTGAGAGAGGACTCTAGCACTATACCAATTATAAATTACCAAAGCTTCACAAAGTTCCCTTGTAAACTTTTTTTTACATAGGATTGAACAAACTTCTTCCCTTTATCACACTGCGTTAAGTTTAATCACAGTTATTCAGTCTATCCGTGTGACCCATGTAGGATCCTGATGGCCATGCGGTCAGCCTGGGGAGGGATGAGGAGCAGGTCATCATGTGTTCTGGAGAGTAAGTTCTTATCAGATACGTGATTTGCAAGTATTTCTCTCAGTAGTGGCCTTTGATGAACAAATATTTTTAATTTTTTTTTCAAACTCAGGACCTCCTGCTTGCCAGGCAGGCGCTGTGCTACTGAGCTAAATCCCTGGCTCTATTTTTAATTTTTTTTTCAGTGCTAGGGACTCAACTCAGGGCCTTACATATGCCAGTCAAACACTGTATCACTAAGCTACACATGCACCCAAATGTTTTTGATTTTAATGCAATCCTGTTTATCTATTTTATTCTTTTCTTGTTCTTGTTTTTGATGTCATATGTAAGAAATCATTGCTAAATCCAAGATCATGTGGGTTTGTTCCTGTATTTTCTTCTAAGAGTTTAATAGTTTGGGCTTTGGAATGTTTGTCTTTGATCCATTTTGCAAGTTTTGTGGCCCTGGCTGCCCACACATGCTGCCAGGCATGCATTCTACCCTTCAGTTCCTGTGGTTTCTCCATTCAGGAGCTCGTGGCCGAAAGCATGGGAGAGGAGCACAGAGGCATTCCAGGGTCTGTGTTCAAGAGAACTAGCCCATTCCTCACTCATCAGGTGTTCAACAGGTTTGTGTGGCGTGGGTGACTTTGCATCTTGTGCCGTGGCAGTGAGCGGAGGAGCTCAGTAGGGAGCTGCTTCTGGCACTGGCCATGATCTGGCCTGGGTTACCATGGCTCTGCCATGGCTCCCTGATGGAGCAGTGCTGTAAAGACCCCATTCCTGACCTGGGCCACACGCAACCTGTTTCTAGGTGGCCCTGCTCTGACACTGTTGGGGAGGGGGAGGTTGCCAGGCCAAAGTTCCCACCCAGGATCCTGTGTCCTCTTTTTCCCACCTCTCCTCTCCTGCCCATGGGCAGCTTCTTGCACCAAGCACCCTCTGAGGCCCATGGGGGTCCTCGGCACTTCCCTCTGGTGTTGGCTCGTATGTCGCTCGTGGCCAACATCACTCTGTATTTTGAAGGTAGACTTGGTGTGTCTCATCCTTCAAGCAGATGTATACAGCCTCTTCTCTGATCTTACTGGTCCTAAATGTGTGTTTTGTGTTCACAGCTATCACTCAGAAACAAATATTGTCCGGTATATGAAGAAACTAGAAAACAAAGACATTTCCCTTGTTCACAGCATGATTCCGCTGGTAGTAGTTGTGGCTTTTCCCTCCCCCAGCCCCAGACTGACCTGACCCCTGTGGTGATATGTAATACTCGGGAAGTGGGAAAAAGGGGTGGCCGTGAGGGAGGTGGGAGGGTTGACAGAGAGGGTACCACCAATGTAACCGTTTGGATGTGCTTCTTCAAGGGGTCCTGCACCATGAAGCTCAATAGCTCATCTGAACTCACGGTAAGCAGGCCCCCTACACAAGGGGGTGGTTAGTAGGGGCAGATTTCCAGTTTGGACAGAGGTCGGTAACTGGAGGAAGGTAGCAGGACAGTGATACTTTAGTGATCCTTTACCTTGCTGTTCACCGATCTTGGAAGAAATCCTGAAATTTCTCACAACTTGATCACTTAAATTTGTGGGTAAAATTATTTTTATTGTTTACATTTTTGAGACTGGGTTTTGCTATGTTGCCCAGGGTGATCTTGAAATCATGCATTCAAGTGATCCTCCTGCCTCAGCCTCTCAAGTACCTGGGACTACAGGCACATACCACTGCACCCAGATATGTAAAATTATTATTATTATTATTTTGTTTTTTGTTTTTGTTTTTTGGTATCAGGGATC